AACTGCTTCTGGTGGTCTTTAGAAAACTGGGATGGAGAAAAAGGCATTGGTCAGATCAACAGCTGTATAATACCAGGTAGCAGGGGATGTGCTAATTTGCTCAAGCAATGAAACCACATCTGGAATAGCAGCTTGTGATGGTTAAGATTGTGTGTCAACTTGGCTGGGCCATGATTCTCCGTGTTTTAATGTAATCACTCCCATGATTGAAAATACTGTGAGTAGCCAGTCAGATAAAAGGGAATCTCCTTGGGGGTGTGGCCCGAATCTGTATATAAGCAGACATTCTGGCTTTTTGCTCTCTCTGGATCCTGCGGCTGCTTCCTGTCGTCTCATCTCCCGTTCTTGGAACTTGAGCTGTCAGCTTATCTGCCGAACCTGGGATTCGTCGATCTGCACAGCCTGTGAGTGGGAGCCCTGCCTTCCGACCTGCTGATCTTGGGCTTGCCAGCTTCTGCAGCTATGTGACTTGGGAGAGGCCTCTACCCTGATCCACGGACTTGGGACATTCTAGCCTCTACAATCACGTGAGCTGTTTCCTTGATATAATCTCTCTCTATACATATATTTATACACTTTACTGGTTTTAGGTTTAGGGTTAGGGCTAGGGTTAGGGTCTATCCAAAAGCAATACCACATTCCTGGAGGGATTGCAGAGATTACTGACACCATCAAGGACTTGAAGGATGCAAGGGTGATGATTCCCACCACATCCCCATTCAACTCACCTATTTGGCCTGTGCAAAAAATAGATGGATCTTGGAGAATGACAGTAGATTATCGAAAACTTAACCAGGTGGTTACTCCAATTGCAGCTGCTGTTCCAGATGTAATTTCACTGCTTGAGCAAATTAATACATCTCCTGGTACCTGGTATGCAGCTATTGATCTGGCTAATGCCTTTTTCTCCATACCCGTTTCAAAGGACCACCAGAAGCAGTTTGCCTTCAGCTGGCAAGGCCAACAATACACCTTCACTTGACTACCTCAGGGCTACATTAACTCTCCAGCCCTATGTCATAATTTAGTCCGCAGGGAACTTGATCGCCTTTCCCTTCCACAAGACATCACACTGGTCCATTACACTGATGACATTATGCTGATAGGACCTAGTAAGGAAGAAGTGTCAATGACTCTGGACTTACTGGTAAAACATTTGCGTGGTAGAGGGTGGGAGATTAATCCCACAAAAATTCAGGCACCTTCCACTTCAGTGAAATTTCTAGGGGTCCAGTGGTGTGGGGCATGTCGAGACATTCTTTCTAAAGTGAAGGATAAGTTATTGCATCTTGCTGCTCCCACAACTAAAAAGGAGGCACAATGCCTAGTGGGCCTCTGGATTTTGGAAGCAACATATTCCTCCTTTGGGTGTGTTACTCTGGCCTATTTATCAAGTGACTCGAAAAGCTGCTAGTTTTGAGTGGGGACCAGAACAAGAGAAGGCTCTGCAACAGGTTCAGGACAGGATGGTTCCAGTAGGCATCCAAAATAAAACTCCAGATGACTTTCCAGCAGAAGAAAAGGCACTAGAACTACCTGATAAGGAATTCAC